TATTGAAGCGTCTAGTGAGAGATTGATGAAGTATGCACTTTAATGTACGAATGAGATTTCCATCCAAAATATCTTCTGTCAAGTGATTATCTATGATGCCGCGTATTACCGGGCGGACCAAAGATATCGTAACTTCAGAGGAGCAAAATATGGTGGTTGCACATTGCAAAGGCTTCAAAAGTGATACTAATTCATTTATAATTGATCATTCGCTTGCAATCATTTCTAAATTTCGTGCTTGCACTGGTTTTGTCACGGAAGTATTATTAAGGCGATGCTGGAAGGTAGAAAATACCGACGATTACAGTTTAGTAGATTTCTCCGAATTGGCTGAACGGAATTGAAAATCCTTTCACAGGGTTAAAATAGACGTGAAATTGTGGTGTTAGACGGTCGAATTTGTAGTAAAATCGGAAAAAAATTACCTTTTTTTGGGTCGTACAGCTGACACCTAATCATAACCTGACATAAATATTTTATTAGTGTAAAAGTTCTGTAGCTCATATGTACAAAATGCGTGCGTCTAACACCACAGTATACATAAACGAATAATACAAAGTCTTTTGAGCTACGATTGAAAGCGTAGAAAAAAAGAAATCCACTAAACTGTAATTGCGGTAATTCGTACGCTCGGCTGAGGTAAAGACAGCAAAAATTACGTTTGGCAGTAGTGCCGGATTTTCCAAGAGATGGCACTTCAATAAGTTAGATAAGGACATTCCACGTGTTTGAGTGAGACAGAAGATATTGTAAGAAGTTCATTTAGAGATACCACTGATACTGAAGAGTCTGCTTTATCGACCTCGTGTTTTCCGACCTTCCGGCATCGCCTTAAGTACTGCCAAAATAGGAGTTCTATTTTTATATAGCCGTTCGCACATATAATATGTTGAATTCCATCTTGTGAGACAACTTTGAATTAATGCTTCTTTCGGAAAATTAAGTTTAATTTGAGTATTATGTAGTTCTTGCGTGGCCAGAGCGGAATGTTTAAAGTGTCCTACAATTTTCCTTGCTTTTTGTATGACACATTCTATTTCCTCCA